CTGATGGTGCGTGCCGCCGAGCCCGTGGAGGTGATGCTCACTCTCACGCAGTTGGATAAGCGAGGCGTGCCTTTGGATATGCCGGATGCGCGGCACTCCCCGTTGATGATCAGCGTCTCACGTGCCGAGGGCAATAAGCAGCTGGTGCACAAGAACAGCTCGGGTGATCCGGAGTCGCCTAGCGATGCGTTCACATTTGTCGTTGCTCGCGAAGTCGCCATGAATTACAAATTTGAGCCGAGCGAAGGACCGTACTTTGTGCTTCCCCGCATTCACCGCAAGGGAACATTGGAGGGAAGGCAGAAGGATTTTGTTATCGGCATTCGTTCCTCCACGCCGCTGGACGGGAAGCTCGACATTCAGTTCACGAAACTCAGCGCCACCAACCCCGCGCTGCACAACCGCGTGTTGTTTGTTGTGGAGGACGCAGCCGAAGTCATTCGGCCGCTGCAGAAGAAAATGCCGGGAGAGGCGGCAGTGACAAGCGCCGGGAGTAAGTTGTCCACAGCGACGATCCCTGAGAGGCAGGAAGAAGAAGAAGAAAAGGAGGAGGAGGAGGAGGAACAACAAGAAGAAGAGATGCAGGAGGAGGAGGAAGAAGGAGAAAATGATGTCGAGAGGAAACTCTCGCGACACGACGAGTACCCGCAGGAAGACAGCCCAAAGAAGGCGCATATGAACGGCATCGTGGACGCCAACGGCGTGGCGGATGACGTCGCCGTTAAAATGAACGGCCAAGCGGAGTAAATTGGCGGCACAAACTCAAAAAAAAGAAAAAAGAAAAAGAAAGAAAGCGTGCGTATGGGAGAGAGGGGCGACGGGCTGCTGAACGAAGCAACAACGAAGAAAAAAAAAAAAGGAAACAAACAAAAAAAAGAGAAAAAACGGAACAGGAGGGAGATGGGCGGAATATAAAAAAAAAAAAAATAAGGGGAAACAAGACATCCCCGAAAAAGAAAGAACAACAAAACAAACAAACAAAAGGGAGTAAATATGTAGCAAAAGGAAGGAGAAATGAGGTGCGGAGGGGAGCAGCACGGACGGGAAGAGCCCACTTGGATGCTTTTCACCGCGCATCAACACACCCGCGTCTTGTGAGTTCTCGGGACGTGCACGACGAAGAGAGCGTCTGCGTCTGTGCTTTTTTTCCCTTTTTGTGTGTGTGTCTGCGCTGCACGGTGTTAAGTAGGGGCAAGTGGGGGGGGGGGGGAATGGAAGAAACAATTAGAAATAAAAACGAGGATGTGAATGAAGCGGGGGAAAGGAACCGAAACACGCAGGCAAAACAATAAAAAAAATAATAAAAAACTAAAAAATGAAAGAAAATTAAGCGGGGAGAGGAGGGTGGTGGCTGCCGGCAAGTAGGAAGGAAATAAAAACACTTTAGGGAAAGGCACACACACACAGGTGTGGGGATGTACATGCGGCAGCAAATAAGCACCCACTTCTTTCCAAAAAAGAAAAGAAAAAAAGAAAAAGAAAAATCAAAAGAAAAAAAAAAAATCAGAAAATCATAGAAAAGGCTCAAACCGCACACACAAATACATACACATATGCATATATATGTTGAATATTTTGTGCAGGGTTTTTATTGGGATGGATACATCAGGCATGAAGTGAAAAGGAGAAAACGGCCACTGTACAGATGGCCGTGACCTTCTCTTCCATAATCCTTCTTTTTTCTACAGGCAGCAGAATGGAGATGAGGAGAAGAGGGAAAAGGGGATGATCTTTTTTTTTTTTTTGTTTCTTTTATTTTTTATTTTTGTGTGTGTCTCCTCTCAGGGAATTTGCATCTTGGCCTTTGTTGGGGTGCGAATACTTTTTTTAACCGATAAGACACCGAGTGGTAAGCGGAGGGTGTCGACGGACGGAGAGGACTGGGAGTGGGGGGGGAGAAATGAAAATGAGAGAAAGGGAGGGAGGGAGACAAGAGGGTGGCACCGCTGGTGAGGTCGGTGGAAACAAAAAAGAATGTGCTTGTATGCTTCTGTATGCTTCTGTAGGTATGTGTGTACATGTGTGGGTGGGTGGGTGGGTGCATATTTTATTTACACGTGCGTGTTGAAGTTTTGTTAAAAGTTTTTTCTTTTTTTTTTCTTTTTTTTTTTTTTCGAGCTCCTCACAGCCACCAACTTTGCGTCTGCAACTCACCGATGCCGTCACGAGACTGTGGCTGTGAGGAGCGGCGGAGGGTGATATGTGCGGGTCATTGTCGTTTCTTCCCTCTCCCTCTCCCTCTTTGTCCACACAGGCATTCAGAAGCATACAAGCACATACGTCAAGGCATAAATGTTTGATTCACGTTTGGTGCTTTTTCTCTCTCTCTCTCTCTCTTATTTTCCTCTCTGTAATTATTGAAAGTTGTGACTTGTATGCCTTTATTTTATGTAATCTTTTTCTTTTTGATTTTCCTTCTTTTTTTTCTTCTCCTTCTCCTTCTCTTTTTTTTTTTTTTTTTCCTCACGTTCCTTAGCACTGAATTATTTCTATTTATGTATATAACTGTACCGTGATTATGTGTGCTTGCATCCCCTCCTTCATCTTTATTTTTTTATTATTATAAATTTTGCGCCATGTGTGTGTGTGTGTGTGCTCTTAGCCGTTTTTTTTTTTATCTGCTTTCATGAACTTTTTTTCTTTTACACGTGGTGTTTCCTCCTATTATCGATTAGTGACGATTATAGCAAATGAGCCTTGCGTATTGGCACGGGCTGCCAGGATGCTTTTAGGAGCGGCACAACGGGCTCAGCCGCATTGATGCCACGGCGCGAGGCGGTTAACTGGAGAATTGCCGGCGCTTAACGTGTGTGGGAATTTGTACCGAGGGGGACGCGCACACAAAACTTCTTACATTGAACACATGTCTGCGGAAAAGGACTTATTACTTTGCCAGCAGGGTTCAATTAGGAGGTTACATGGGGTTATTCTTACCGAAGGGATTGTGGATAGTACGGGTTAGCCCCGGTGGCTTGGAGGCGTCATTAATATTTTGAATAAATCCAGCGTGCTTCTCTTGTGCTGTGGTCATGTACACAGGGCCAAGTGTCCACAAGGGCTGTCATGACCTTTTTTTCCCCCTCCCCCCCCTGCTTACAAAAGCACAATAAAGCGGCTTTTTTTTTTTTGAAGGAGGCACTGAGGCAGAGCTCGTATGGCCGGGTGCTTTTTATGCGCGGTGGGCGGAGGATGAACGTGTTGTTGATACATTTTTGGACACAATAAATATTTTGGCATTGGATTACAAATTATTATTATTATTATTGCAGAAGGGCATGTGTGAGGTCTTAGGGAGTTTGATGTACTTGTCTGAGATTATGTTGGCCTTTTTTTTACTTCTTTTTTATTTTCCTTTTTTTTTTTTTGCTGTTTGTGTGTCTTTGGCCTGCGGAGCTGGTTAAAAGTTATTTATTGCGTGGCTGTTGGTGCCACAAAATAACACACACGGGCCCACACAAGCACATAATATACAAAAAAAAAAGAGTGAGAGAATATAGTCATTAATTTTACCAACGTCTGTGAGACGGTGATTGTGCATGCGTCACCCTCACCACACCGCCGTGTCTCTTTCGCCAGAGGACAGTGGAGCGAAGCTTGAGAGTCTCCTGGACGGTGACTGGTCGCCCGTCGCCCTCTCCACCATGCCTTCCATTCATTTCTCCGAATATTCTCATCCCACTAACGGTGACTGGTCAAATGGCGTTTCAAACGTCGGCGACAGTTGCACTCCTCTCATTCCACAGGAAATGGTTCAAAATAGACTCTCTTGCCCACGAGTTCGTGATGCGGGTGGGGAAGATGCGGCGAGTGTAAACAACGGCGGTAAACACACGGTGCCTCCGACGGAGTCTTTCACACCCACGGAAAGAGGACCGGCCTTCTCCCTCACGCGCCTCTCAGGAGGGAGATCCACTCGCAATCGGATGCGGGCTCCGCGAGTAGTACAGACGGAAGTGCCGCTGCAGTCACGGATTGTGAAGGAGCCACCGTCAACAAGGATGAGGAACAGACTGGAGGATTCTGGACCCGTATCGAGGCTGTTGTTCAGTCCTGTGCTGGAGAATGAAAGGAATTTAAAGGCACCATCGTCAGAAGAGCCAACAGAAGAAGATATGAGGGAGTCTTGGGAGGCCCACTCTTTTCCTGTATCAGACCTTTCCCAGCACCAGGAACCATCGTCCCTCTCTTCTATTGCTGAAAAAAACAGCAATTCGGGGAATGATGTAAACAAGCACCTTCGTTTCGTTGTGCATCGGCGATCGGGAAGAGGTTCTCTGCCGCGTCGATCAGCAAGGCGCTGTACTACGACCTTGTTTTCTGCCGTGGAACCTTTAGAAATGAGCGACAAAACCAGCAGCGTGAGTCTACCGCCGTTAGTGGAAACATCACCTAGTAAAACACTGAAGGCCTCCGAATGTTTCACAGCCACAAAGGGGACTGAGGCACAACCCATCTTGCCATCGGAGACCGACAGCGATCTCCAATTCTCTGTGTCTTTGTTGGAAAAGACGAGTAGAGATCATTCAACGGCAATTAGCCCTTTTGATTTGTGTTGGGCGCAGCGGGCAGAATCCACGGATACAGCTACCGCTGAAACGGGGAAATCTCAGTTTAATGGCTCACTTTTTTCATTTGCAACCAGCAACGCCTTAGGTGAGGGGAGCCGACTCAACTCCGAGACGATGGGAGGCGACGGCACAGAAAAACGGGAATGTGGACCATTACACACGGCCTTAACCAGTGACAACGATACTCGTACGGAATTGCCGAAGAATTCTGACTCTTTTGAACAGCTAAGCCAACTGGTGAAGCGTACATCTGACCCAGAGGTGCTTCATCTTATTCGCGAGCACTTTTTGCGAAACAACAGTGACCCGCAGCGACATGCCTTTGTTGTCCTCTGTGACAAGCTTGCTAAAGAGATGGAAGAAAACCCAGGAGAAAAAAATGCTCGGCGAGCTGCAGTGACGGATGGGGATGAAGAAGGAGACGATAAGAGGATGAGTTCTATAGAGGACTTTGATCGTCATGATACTGAGGATGATGAGTTTGACGACGACAACATCAGGGAGTCTGCGTACCCCAAGAAAGATCCACACAGGAAGTACACATTTGCCAACCCTTCCGTTCAAGGGAAGAGCACTTCGGTGTTCAGCTCCGGCATGTTGTACAAGATTTTGAGAGAGAATGGTGAATTCTTTTTTTTTAATGACACGTTGCAGTATGTCATGGTGGTGCGGGTGCAGTGCCGGTTGTGGGGAGATGAGGCGATCGACGAGAAGGTCGTTCAGACACAGATGGGGAATGGCGAGACGGAGCTTACACTGGCAATTCCACCGGAGGCAACTTGCTTTTTAATGAAGACTGTAAGAGATCTTCCGAGAGTTTGGGCGAAGGGCGTTGCACCGCCAAAAGACTTTGTTGCGCCTTCTGTGAAACGTAACATGCATGACATTGATGTGAGTATCAACAATGTTCGGTCAAAATTAGGGCAGTGGAGCCGCGCCGGAGACCAGAAATCCCTTTTAAAATGCTGTCTTCATAACGGTCTTAGGTTTACGGATCTTGAGTTCCGTCCATCTGCCAACTCCTTGTGTCGTCCAGGTGTTGACACGGCGACATTCTCTTTTCTGACGTGGCGACGACCTGTGGACTATTTGATGCTCACAGAGGTGGGACAAGCCCGCCTTTTTAGAAGAGATATCTCATCTCATTTGGTACGCCAAGGCTCTTTAGGGGACCACACTGTTATTGGAGGTATTGCAGCCGTTGCCATGTTTCCTTTTCATGTCCGTTGGATGTTTCGACACCCAGTAAGCTCAGCGATTGGAAAACGCGAGCGTGAGGTCGGTGCATACCGTGTCACTCTTTGTGTGGGAGGTTGGTGGACAACACTACTGTTGGATGATTACTTTCCAGCATCGCTCAAGGCACCATTGTTTGCGAGGTGTGCGGTTGACCCACGTCGTTTGTGGGTATCTTTCTTGGAGAAGGCGTACGCCAAAGCTCTTGGGTCATATGCAGCATTGTGCGCTGCCGACGCACTTGAGGTCTTGACGGACTTTACTGGCTTCCCGTGTCGTAATTTAGATGTTTTATGGTCAGAAGCCGCAAACGACCCTGAAGCCGCAAAGAATCTCTACAAATATATTCATAGTTGCGCCAGACGTCAATTCCTTATTATGGTATACACTCCTTCATTCTTGAAACCCAGCTCTGCACCTTTGATGGATAATTCAAGTTGCCCATCTACGCATTTTGTGGGTTCTGGTGAGGGGGTTTCTTTCTTTTTGCCTGGCCATGTTTACTTTATCACAGAGACTCTCTACTGTGAGGATTTGGATCTCCGCTTGGTGCGATTGAAGAATCCGTGGACGTGGAGTGCAGCTGGAAGAACACACAGGCCGTTTGGGTGGAAACGTTCCAAGTGGTTTGAGCAACCAGAGAATAGTACAACCATGGGAGCCAGCAGCGTCATTTTTCAGTCAAAGGGTGAAGATGGCCGCGGGGGTGGTGATGGGAACGCGTTGAAACAAAAGGAGTTGGGAACCATGTGGTTGGAATGGTCGGAGGCTTTCCGTTCATTTGAGGGCGGTGGTGTCTGCTACACCCTTTGGAACTGGAAAGAGTACCGCATCCGAGGCCGTTTCTGTCAATGTATTCCCACCGTTGTTCTTGAGGTCCGGGTTGAGCAGAAGGCGGAGTGTATTCTGACGATTTCGCAGGAAAGTAGGCTGAGGCGTCTTGGAAGTGCGAGGAAATTTAGATATGATGCGATGCTTCTTTTTGTCTCGCGTCACATGGCCGCATCGAATATGGAGTCTCTTGCGTGCACGAGCTCCGGTGACATTGAGTCTCCGAGCGACGGTTTTACGTACACCGCGGCACGAGACGTGTCTGTGCGGTGCATCTTTGAACCCGAGCACAGCCCGTATTACGTGATCCCACGTGTGTACCATTTCAGTGATCGGGAAGAAACACCGTTTGTTCTTTCCTTTCTATGCGAAACGGTGATTGGGGGGGATGATGCCCAGGTACACTTCCGCCACTTGGACCCATCCTGTCGCGTCTTTCAAGACATGTCATCCTTCACGGTGAATGCGGAGCTCTGCCGTCCCGTCACGGCAACCTATCAGTGCCGAACTCCTGCTGGTGTCTCGGCCTACGAGGGTCAATGCATCAGACAGCAAAATTGGCGCGGTATGAGACAGATGCATTCGGATGATGGCTGATCATTTTTATGCTGTTTTTTTCCTTTTTTTTTTTTTTTTTGGCGTGTATCTTCTCCGTGATTGTTTGATGGACGCCCATGACAAATAATTTTACACCTTCCCAGACGATGACAGCAAAAAAGTAGGAGCCTTCTCAACAAAAAAGTATATATATATGTATACATACTTTGTGGAGGATGTCATTCGGGTGCATTATCATTTTATTATTATTATTATTATTTTTCTGTGTGTTTCTCTTTGCCGTTTTATCTTTTGGTTTTACATATTTATTTATTTATTTATTGTTATTATTACTATTATTTTGTATTTGTGTTATGTGTAGTGATTCCCACTCCGTGCCTCTGCTGCAGAGAGAAAATGGTGGGCCAGATTGTTGGGTTCTCCTCTTTATTTTATTTTTTTTTATTATATTTTTCTGTTATATGCTTTCTCATTGGTTTTGCTGGCGATGTGTATACCCACACACTTACACACTTACAGCGTCTCTGCGTGGTGTCGAATTCCACGTGTGTTTTCTGCTGCGATACGATGAAACATTTACTGCCCGATGTGAAAGGAAAAGAAAAGAAAAAGACGGACGGCAGCGAGCGAAGGCGCCTCGCCCCAACGTACAGGCAGGAGGCGGCGAGGGAAATGTTGGGGGGAAAAGTGACTGTCATGCGTATATGTGTGTAGTTTGCCTACCGCCTTCCCGCTTCTCTTCTATTTTATTTTTTATTTTTTCCACTACATAAGTTGTTGCATAGACACCAGCGAAGAATTACTGTTTTCACACCGACGGAGGTCTCATTAGTTTGACGTGCCACTTGCTTCTTATTCATATCTACAGGGCGTGGCTGGGAGGAGGAGACGAGACAAGTCAACACCGTCCCTTTAAGGAGTTGTGCCTGTGAGAGTGGAAAGGACCCCGCAACGTTTACAGAAGGAAAACAAGAATACAAGCCAAATGACCACCGAAAATGATGGCTGTTACCTTTTGCTCTTTCCGAGCACATCACAGGCGATGTACGAGGATGAGATGCGTGCTGTTTCCGTGGCGACACCGCTGCCCGATCTTCTTCCGAGGAGTTTTGACGAGATTGAAAGCATGCGGAAGATGCGAAAGGATGCAGAGAGCGGGAAAAAGTACGTGCCTCCACGACATGACCTGCCGCCACCGTACGTCAACGATGACGAGTGTGACGAGTTTGAGGATGCGACAATTGACAATTCCCTGGAGAATCTGTCGTCAATGACGCCCAGCCGAAAGTACCAATTAAGTGGCCCGAGCGTGGAAGGAGAGGTGTCGTCTGTGTTTGAAAATGGAATGCTCTACAAGGTCATTGTGGAGGACGGCTCATGGTACCTTTATAACGACACCGAGAAGTATGAAATGCATGTGCGTTTCCGCTTTGGCTCCAGGTCAGAGTTGCAACCAGGTGAGCGTGTGGAAATGTTTGTGAAGAGCAACAAGGAACTGGAGGCATTCCTTATTGTTTACCCACATGAGACTATGAAGCTTATTTCAGGCAAAGTGAACGGGTTTAAATGCATGGCGAAGGCTGTGCCGCTAAGTGATGAAAAGCGGACGGAGCTCTTCTCTTCCATAAACAACGAGGCTTTGAATGAATTGTTTCTTATTGCAAAGGAACTGGACGTCGACGGTGTGCAAGCACTTGAAGAAGGACAAGTTCTCCATTACTGTGTTGAGAATGAGGTGCCATATATTGACTGCAGTTTTC